GCATATCATACCGCTCTGGATAAAAGAAAATCATCTCAGGGACGGCTGTTGGCAGTAGCTTGAACTTCTGTGCATGACGCGGGGTTGTATTCCAGTGGTCCTGGAACTCATCAAAATGGAGCTGAACAATGCGGGACCACAACCATTGGAACAAGTTCCTACCAAGAATGTAAGTGTCAATAGAGTATTGTATTGAGACAATGGACACTGACACATGGTTTGGGTTCCCAGGGGCAAATAGCCCGTTTGCATTCCCTTGGAGGATTATTTCCTTGATATTCCTTCCGCCCAGCGTAGGTCTGTCGATAGCTCCACAGAGACTCAATCGTAATATTATCTGTGCTTTTCAACGTGACAGTTAATAGCCGATCGAGTTCAGTGAGCTTGTCTGCCAGGAGCCTGCAACTGCAAAAGTCAATGAGTTTTACCTTCATGTATGCACAAACAACACTCACCAAAGTTCTTGCTGAAGTGCTTTCATAAGGCCCGTCTCATTACCACCGTCGAAAAGTAAGCTGCACTGGCATTTCTGCAGTATTGGTGAGCCATTGAGAGATGTCAATGAACAGGAATGTGCTCACCTCCTGTGCTCTCAACAAAGTCAAGATATACATGTCCAATAGCATCTTCATCGCGGTCGTTGGGTATGACAGTTAGGTGCAGAATTTTTCCGGTATGGTCCCGGAATCCATAGATTGGGATACCCACTAGACCCATTCATAGCGCTTTTGAACCGAGCTTCTCATGGCCGTCACAATGCACTTCCTCCATCGGCGCAACAGTCTTCAGTTGTCCCCAAACCTTGAAGGGTGTTTTCTTTCCCGGGAAGCGCAATTCTGCACCCTTTGGATCAATTGTGTGTGCTATACTCCGGACTGTATCACTGTGAGGAATGAGAATAGTCCTTGATTCACCAGGAATGTGAAAAACTGATCGCGGAATTGGTATACCAGTTTCTCTCGCAATTTGGTGTTGAATTGTTGTTGGACCGTGACGGCGACTATTGTCTTCAGACATCTTCTGGGCGACTAGAGCAGTGCATATGGGGAGAGGGGGCGATTTGCGGACACTTGGTACTTTAAATTCGTTGTTCAACGTCTTCAGCTTGGATTTCCTTTGGACAGTGATCTGGGCCTTGAAAAACAAATATTAATCGCACTCACTTAATTCAATACCCATGCAGTCGGACAAGCTCTGCAAGTTGATCATTGATGGACAGTTGCCGGCGCACACAATCATGAATTTTCATGAAGTGTTTTCTTAAGCACTTCGTCCGGGGGCTCTGGGTTGAGCAGGTCAGTGTAATTTTCATTGCACACAGTTGCTCTTTCATACTTGTCCCATTATTGACACCGTTCTTCCCGGCCTCATTTAACTTTTGTCGTGAAGTGGTTTTTCCAGGTGTCTTCAGACGCTGAACCGGTGTCCCCAGAGAACAACGAGACCTTTCTCAGGGAGGAGGTGCTTTTGACCAGTGAAATACACTTTTTCCTTACAAAGTTCTATGAATGTGGGGCACTGAATGAAGTTGACCTCGACTTATGTGAGTTCCCTCTGTTTCTAGAGTTACTTTACTCTTGCTCATGTGTTCCTAGCGCTCCCTGCAACCGATATTTGGCTTGCTACTGAGCTCCTCACTGAGGAAGACAGTAAACCATGCCCTGCAGCAGGTCTAGACGATCTTGCTGAGGCTGACATGGCCGATGTCCGTAAGACCGGAGTCGCCTGGCTCGTTGAACCTCTGCGTGTTGGTGCCGTTCAGAAATTCTCTGGCACTCTCAATCACAAGTCGAAGGCACCCACCACCCGCCTCGCCGCTACTGTCAACACCTTCATCCATTTTGTGTACCATTTCAGCCAGAAATCATTGGTTTTATGTGACATTCAAAGTATGTTCTCTTGCTCGTTCTTGGATTCTCCAACTGAGATACTACTGTCAGCTATGAAGGCCAGAATCAAGGGAGAGCCAAAGAACGTGATCTTTGACCCCATGGCCCATACACCCAAAGGGTAAGTTTACTCCTCTCAGCTGGACCACTACACTAAATTGAACTTGGTGCGGTAGAAAAAGTGGACCCGGTGATCACGGCAAGGACGGAATCAAGAATTTTCTCGCCACACACGAATGTAACAGCAAATGTGAAGCCTTGGGTCTTGATGAGCTAGACGAGCTTGACTCAGATGATGAGGAAAGCGACAAGGTGTAGGAATACATAGGTGCCGACTTTGATGTTGATTCCGTAGCTACAAATTGTTATATCCATGCAACCACACCCCTGGACCATGGTCTTCGTCACCCAAGACCACTCTGGTTCTCTATGGGCACTCCGGTCCACTCCGGTGTTTCCAGAGTCAACCGGAAACCCGGAGCCAACCGGAATCCTGGTATTAGTATTGGGATGACTTCTCGCGGTCAGTCGTGGCTGGTATCAAGGGGTAACGACCTCTCCACATGTTCCCTCTTGCCTTCCATCGCCTCATGGCAGATTTCATCACCTCATGTTTCATTTCCCAAGATCAATACTGATACAGGTCGAACTTCTCTTACCGCTTATGGACTTCCTATTCTTTCAACCATATGCTCGTCCACATGTTTCTCCTTTATCTCCTTTACACTAAATTAGGATCCAACACTATTTAATCAGCTAGCATACTCCCTGTTCTTCAGTAGTTTAATAAATGTTGCTTCCCCCCTTCCGGAGTGGTACCAGTCGCTCCTCTCTTCCCCCAGACTCTTCCTCTTCCTCTAGACGATACCTGGCAGTACACGCTCACTCTGCGCCTCAGTGGTGTTGTGTCAAGCAGCTCCGCCGATCCCCTTTGTCGACTCCGGTTACTCTGGCCTACTCTCCGGCACCCCGGTTATTCCGGAGTACCTTGTACGACTCCGGCCGACTGTTCCACTATCCCTTAACCCCGCGGCTTGGCATATAACCCAAATACAACACTTATTGAATTTGTGTATCCCCCAACATGAATTAATCCCTGCAAGGCCAGTAATACCACTGTATTAATCATAATGGTGTTCAGATTGAACAGTGATGTCCTTTTGCCGCGCGCATCACAGTCACATGACTGTGTCCTGATGTAACAACAAATGACAAATTGCCAGCACTGGGCGCAAATTCTCCAAAATATTCCATACCACCATTGAATCCTGCAATAATTGGTCTCCTACCTGGATGTGTCAAGGTTTCACTTGTCTGCCGCTGCCAACGGACACCGTCAGTTGTTGGTTTTTTTTCTGATCGTGTTTACCTTCAAACAATATCACATACCGGGAAATAACCTTCTGAATGAGATACATACATGTTACTATGCTATACATTTTGAAAACCTGAAATGTGTTGGTGGTTTTGTGAACCTCTGTTCCCAAAAAGGAAATTTCATTTCATCTGTGGCCTTCCCGCTGACCGTAAAGGAGTTGCCAGATCGAATCGAGAAGCAGTGGATTACAGAATTGAAGGGCGTTGAGCGTAAGTTCACCTAGTGGAGTATTGGGATCAAGAAGGCTCTGGGGATGGGCGGCAACATGGGCGCAGAAGGTCGGGAGTTTGCGGTGGATGTTGGTGAGGTCAAGTAAATTGATAGGGTTTGCCTTGGTACTGCGCACTGTTGCCATATAGGGCCTACCTTCTCTATTGTTCCAGTAGCTACATAAGTAGCCTAGCAGCATCCTGGGTCCTCAGTTTCTTACTGTTGACCCAGGTGTGTTCTCTTCTTACATGCATCTAACAGAGTTTCTCACTGTTGACCCAGACCTCTTTGCTGCCTGTTCTAACACAAGGGCTCTGGGTCCTCATGGGTGAAACTGACGATTATAATGGCCAAATTTACCATGTCGTGAATCAGGAAAGCGGTCCAAAGTGGCATGTCCGCTGTGTCGTCCTGGGGTAAGGGGAAGCCGAAAGACAAGAGTTTTATGTGCGGAAGCAGGTGTTTGTTGTAAGATGGAACAGGATTTCGGCATCCTTGTATGTGTGCAAATTAATGCGCTCGTAGATGAGAGGTCGGTACTGGTGAAGCCAATTTCTGCAGATGTATTGCAGATTCATGAGATCTCGGTGTTCCATGGTCTGTGTGTCGATATAGTGTTCACTGAGCAAGGTCCATACATCGTCATAATCTGTGAAGAATGAGGTTCTTTTGTATGGTAGTTACTCAACGCTACGTACCCTCTGTGGACCCTTCAGCTGATTGTATTCCATGTGCATCCTCGACTTCCATTGCTGCAGCCTTAATGTTCTTAATGTCCCTACATCAGTAAAACTACACGTTTGGCTTTGGCGTCTTTGACGTCTTTGGAAAGACGCCAAAGACGTCAAAGACCTATTTTTGCCAAAGACGTAGGTCTTTCACCAAGAAGGTTCATTTTTCCTTGAAAGACCTATTGTGTCTTTGAGGTCTTTCAAAGGACGCGAGAGCTTTCCCAACTTGTACTTCAAGACACTCAAAGACTGTTCAAAGACACTGAAAGATCCCTTGCAAGACCACGAAAGCACAGATCAATGGTAAACAATGAATATATTCAGATGGATGGTACGTTAATACAGATAGTGGGTGAACTACGAGATTTATCTGTATCCATATCGTACAATACGAGGACACTGCTGCGATGCCAAGAGGGGTAGGGGAGACCGTGAAACCAAACACACCGCAAAATATTCTTGTGCTACATCATTTTGTAAGCACTACATCAGCAAACCCTGGGTCTGCTACGTAGTACTACGTAGTTGCTGTAGTTGGTGTAGTACTGTAGAAAGGGTACCTCCTATGTAGTTCTACGTAGTTGAAGGGGTTTCTACGTAGTTTGGGGGGGCTTCTACATAGTTCTACGTAGCTCAGGTTCTGAAGCTCACAAAAGTCTTACTTGGTGACCACTCTAACATTGCTATCTTATGTTTTCAAGTTCAAATTTGCTGTTGAGTAACGGTATTCAACTGATGTCTTATTGTATTGTATCAACTCTATTTTTAATTTTTAATTGTAATTAATTAACATGTTTCCTGAGAGGATCGAACACGCGACCTCGGGAGTCCAGCCAAAAGACAGAGTTTCGCGCACTAACCAACTGAGCTAAGAGTCCATACAACCCTAGGGGAATGATTCTGATACATAGGAACCTCGCCTGTCCCAGGCGAGGTTACTCTTCTCTCCGCCCTCACCGTCGCCCATTCATGGTGTCTATCTGTGTGTGAATAATTCTCTATCCACTCAGAAAGACTTTTCACCTTGAAAAAAAAAAATCCAGGGTATGTGAAATATTTGTAGATGCTAAAAATAGACCAAAACCAAAGTTGTAGAGCTTAAAGAGAGCTACAAAAGTTGTCTATACCACTTTTCGCCAAACGGCTTAGTTGAAGCGCAAAACACAAAATACTTTCCCACACGCGACACTTTTTAAGGCTAGAACAACTCAAAACCAGATTTTCTGCAACTTGCCAAACAACCAGACCTTCATAATGTCCGTTGAAGAGTTGACAGTCGGCCGCTGATCAGAAATCCATCTGCACCATAGAATACCCCAAACCTACATAGAACTACGTAGAACCCCCTAAACTACATAGAACTATGTAGAGTCCCCTCAAACTATGTAGAACTACATAGTTCAGCCAAAACTACAGCCAACTACAGCCAACTACAACAACTACAGCCAACTACACCAAAAAACAGGGTTTGCTGATGTAGGTCTTGAAGGACCGCATAAGGAAAGTCAGACCAAGGGAATGCATATTTGAGCACGCTTGAGGGTGCATGTTGAAGCTCGAGCTCTTGAGGGACTTGAAGAACCGCGCAAGGAAAGGTGATAGTCAGATAAGGGAATGCATATTTATTTGAGCACGCTTGAGGGTGCAGGTTGAAGCTCGAACTCTTGAGGGACTTGAAGAACCGGAACGAGACCCACTTGACCAGGAACGAGACTTCTTCTGGTGCGTGTTGCGGACTTGAAGTTTGCATGAAGGGGCCAGATCGTGCGGAAGGGACCAAGATGTGGAGAAGAGCACCATCAGAGACATACAAGGAGGTTTAACGTCGTAAGGTAAGGGGGAGGCAGTGGCTTTGAGGAGGGCTCGGGACCACGGGAGCCGGTACAGACAGCACACAGAGTGAGGGTGCATGTGTGAGTGAACAATGACTTGAGGTGTGAGGCCTGTGAGGCTTGGCGGCTTGGAGGGAGGAGGACGGAGGACGGAGGAGGGAAGCATTATGTGGTGGTGGTGGGAGGAAGAAAGAGCGACGAGCTGCGGAGCAACCAGCGGCGACAGTTCGCCGTTGATCTGTAACCATCTGTCAGAAGCTTCAATGATCGTTATCAATCATCGGACTTTGAATGACTTGCACATTTTTGCCGTTACATAGGTGGCCTAAAGACTTGCGTGCATGTTAGGGAGCTCAGGGACAGGTTAGTTATGCTGCGCCAGGTCAATAGAAACCCTCTGACGCCAAGTAAATTTCTCGCCGAAATTCCCAGGATCATCTCGGCATCAAGCTTATCAGTCAAAGATGGAAGATGCCGTTCCCAAGTCCAAGTTGCCGAAAGACGTACTTCAAAGATCAAAGACGCAGTTCAAAGATCAAAGCCGCCAAAGCCAAACATGTAGTTTTACTGATGTAATCCCTACACAGGGCAAACAAACCGTTAGCTTGCTGGTAGGTGAGCTGTGCCACTCGGCACCTTCAACAGACTCTAGACTAGGGTTCTTGAGCGGGGTAGACGACAGCGTGTTGGACGAGAGAGTGCGTTGGACGTGAGCGCAACGTGAGGAGGAGAAAACATGTTTGTCTTTGTTGTGAACCCAAGCTTCAAGTCAGCAGAGGCACTTCCAGTCAATTCTGTGTCCTACTCCTACAGGACTACAGTATTACATAGCTACGGTGCTACAGTGCTACACAGATAATAATGCATTGCAGTGCAGCGATACCCCAATGTTGGTCCGAGTCTCCCGTGCAGACGGTGGTTCCATCCTGCTCCGCCCACGCCTCAGTGATACACCCACCGACATCTGTCTGTGTCTCTTCGTCCGAACTGACATCTGGAGGGGCAGCTGCAGCACCCGCGCGCTCACCAACCCCTTCCTCATCCGAACACACAACACAGTCCCCCGCGTGCCCACACCTCAGCCCGCCTTGCCCTCTCCCGTCGGCGGCAGCTTACGCGTTGAGCGAGGCATTGGATGAGGCTGCTGAGGTGGAAGTGGAGTTGGGAGCAGCTGCAGATGAGCTCCCCGCTGCCACCGCTGTTGTTGTGGTCGAGTTGGACACCCAGTGCATCCGACGCAGACGACACAGGCACAGACTGGGCACCGCGCGGCATGACAATGGTGGATGATGAGCTCAGGGAGGACTTGTTCAAGTGGGTCTCAGCGACGTTGATGCTAAAATAAAGTAAATAAATCAGCAAAATGAAGTGAGGCACACCAACACAAAGAAAACACACCAAATCCAAATGTTATCGCCAAACAAATTCCCCAGCCTATCACGCAAACACCAGTAGCTCCGGAGGACAGAAAAGGAGGACAAGGTCATAAAGACGCAGCAGAGGGTGCGGTTCTTCTTGGTTCCAGGCAGGGTGTAGTTCGAACATAAGTACTTGATTATGGAGGGCAGAGCAAAATGAGGACGTACCCTTCAAAATCCCCGCAGCATGAACGTTATGAAGGTAGTCCATAGTTTCGATGTCTGTAAAGAAACATAAGCTTCGGAGGCAAAAATATATATAATTAAAAATCATACCGGCTGTTCGACAGGCATTGGCAACACGCACAGAACAAAAGGACCTGAGGGGAGCGGGTCCCACTGCAGCCAAGGGTGTGGGGGTAGGACGTGGTCCACTAGGGTCTTATGGTGTCCATCTGGGATCAGAGAGACCATTGCCTCTACAGCAAGACAAGAAATAGTGGATGAGGTGGATGCAAGTCGAGGTGCGTGTGGAAGACGACGACAAGCTTTGGGACATTGAGGTCGAGGTCGAGGTCGACTGTGAGCTTGGGAGATACTCATTGTCGGTCTCCTCTGCCTGTCGTTGGTCTTCTTGCTGCTGCTCCACTTGGACGCTATTAGTTCGAAGAAAAGGTAAGAGGAAAAAAGATACATACGCAGGTATACCCGTTGATCCTCCCAGGTTAAAACGACCTGAGCAGGCTCTTTTAGAGGTTTAACAACGACTGAAGTGTATTATTGAACAAGACAGAGAAGGAAAGTTATGAAAGTTGTACCGCGGAAGGCGCATTGGCGGTCTGTAGCATGGAAGTAATCAGCAGTTCTGTTATATCCAAGTCGTCCAGAAGATGGTACGGAGGGATATAGGGCCAGTCGAACTATCAACAGATACGAAGCGGAGCGGCGGGCCGGACAGAACGGAACCGGAGTCCGGAGTCGGAGCTGGTGAAAGGCGGACTGGATGACGCTACACCGATAATTGGACGAGCGTTACTGCAGGATATCGTCAGAGGGAGAGAGATGACAGAAGCGGAGCTCCGGCGGAGTGTCGGAGCGGAACGACCAGACTACTTCACGAGGAACGGGGTGAAGCAACGTTTATCATAAAACTGAAGTACAGGAGGATGTAGGACAAGATTAAATACTAGAGCTCCTTATTGTAATAGGTAAAGGAGATATGTTAGAAACCATGCGGACATAACAATAAAGGTAAGTCCGAAAGGGGAGTAAGAAGTCAGGTGACAAAAAGAACGATGTTGAAACAATAAGTAAGAAGTCGGAGGACTTAGGATAATAAGGAATGTGTGGGATGGCGTTTTCCCAAGGTGTCAGATGGTGGGAGTTCGTTCCGATGTTTTGTCGGAGCTCCGATCGTTCCGTTACTCCGGCGGTCCGATGCGCTCTGAGAAGACGGAGCACGATCGGAGCCGGAGGAACCGATTGGAGTAGTTTGTTGGAGGTCGTGGTGCATGGATATAACAGTATCCCCCTCTAGGGTTCGACTCCCTAGGCGGACGTCTGGTGGTAGAGGTCCGATGGGAGAATTTGGAGGATAACTGTCGGAGTCGTGAATAATGGATCGTAAGGCATGAAAATTGGTCTTTGGATTTTTTGAATATAATTTTGAATTTTCTCGGCTCCGCTCGTTCCGAGAACGGGACTGTATAGTCACGTGACGCGATGCCGTAAGTTTGAGTCAACAAACTTTTTCTCTCCGCAACCACCACCAACTCAGCTCACCACACACCGGACCAGCAGCCAAAATGTCGAATGCCAGCAACACCAACAAAGGCGCCGCCGGATCGACCAGTGGAGCGGGTGATAAGCGCGTGGGAAGCAGTGGTGGAGATGGCGGTGAGGGGCGCCAGGACAAAGGCAAGGGACGGGCGACCTCAGCGCAGGTGCGCGCCGAGAACGAGGAGCGTGAGGCGGAGAAGGTCCGAGCGGAGAACAGGGAACGGGAGGACCGGCGCGTGGAGCTTGCGCGGCAGATTCGGGCAGCGGCGGAGGCGGACGAAGAAAATATTGCGCGCATCGCAGCGCTCCTCGCGGAGAGCGAGGCAATCCCCGAGGACGAGCCCGAGCGTTATCGCGAGTTCCAGGCCCGCCACCTGGACTTGGTGCCGCCGGTGGCGACGGTGTCCGGGGAGCGGAAGCGGAAGCGGGCGGAGACGGAGAGTGGCGCGTCGGACGGGGACGACGAGTCGGAGAGCGAAGTGCCGCTCCGACGCAACGTCATCGTTGTGAAGCGCGCTCCGGTGGTCGAGGAGATGCTCGAGTTGGAGGATGAGGACCGTAAGTCCTAATTTCTTGATTTTTTTTTTTTTTTTTCTAGAATTTTTATTAATGATTTCCTCAGGTTGTGACCGTTGTGCGGAGACGGCGTCGAAGTGCGTCGTTCCGGCGCAAATTTGTCAAGGTCGGTACCGGACTTGCGCCCGCTGCTCGCGGCGCAAGATCAAGTGCTCCTTCAACCCCAACAACGCCCGGCGGAGCGGCCGCGACGGCGAACGCACAACGGGGTCGAAGAAGGCGAGCGGGAGCAAGAGGCGGAGGTCCGAGAAGTCGGAGGGACACCCGGAAACGGAGTCGGAGGCGCGCCCCAAGAAGCGCATTCGCTCCGGTCGTCGGGGCCCGGGCGACTAC